CTCTCTCTCTCTCTCTCTCTCTCTCTACAATAATCTGGTCCACGTCTCTCGATCTCCCCTCCCCTTGCCCTTTCTCTTCGTCCTCGTCAATCTCACTCTTATGCCTGCTCAAAGTCCAACTACAACTTTCTTTGTTCTCGCTGTCATTGGTAGCGATGTTTTTTCCCGTTTCAATGTTTGAGCAGGACAGTGGAATGAATACCCTCAGACGTTTCTCGGTAGATATTAACCATTATCGTCTTTTCACACATACTGAAAGAATCTTCTTTCCATAGACACTCCTCTCGCACCGTTCATGCTGCAACTTTTCAACAATGATGGCATTTTGCTCGAAGAAACTAGAGGTGGATTGTCGATTATGTACAGCAAGATGTGATTTACATGATTGTTTCGTTGCAGCCTTTGATGTTGCTGAGTTCTACACGTTCAATCTTGATCATGTCAGGAGCGCTCGATTTGTTCGTGTCACTGCGTTATCGGCCGAGTCATGTTTGGATGATCCTTCACACCAACAAGCTTGCAGAGAAGGACAGACGGCGAGCAAGACAAGGTTGAAGGTGCTCGAGCTCAAGGTTGTTTCCCTACCCTACAATCTCTACTCGTTCGTCTCCTCTCCTCTCATCTCACTTCCAGGTGTTCGCACGCACACGATGGAATTGTTCCTCCCACTGCCGGCATGGTCGATGCGAGGAGCGCAATGGCAGGGTAGCATGCACCTGTGAAGCAGACTGGGTTGGCAGGCAGTGCGACACGTTTCTGCGCACTGACAACAGATTCCTTCCTGCTGAGCTCGTGAGATCTTGAGCTCTGCTCCTGCAGTGACGTCAGCAAGGTGTCGAGTGACGTGCTCATGGCTTCCAGGATGACGGGAGATCGTTCTGGGATGAAAACATGTTTGCAGAGACGATGGTATGACAACAAGTCAGGAGATGTCAAAGTTGATGTTGGGTGGCAGTTGATGATTGGCAGGACGCAGCAGGTGGACCGCTGCGAGGAAGCAAACAAGACGATCTTGTACACTTTTCACAACGTTGGGTTGGGAGGAACTCTGTCGTTCATTTCAGGGCTGTTGAGGTTGTTAGGCCACAGGGCAAGTTTGTCGTTCCGCAAGTGACATGTCTGACAGCCTGTCGATATCGATGAATCGAACTATGACGCTCAATGCGGGAGAAGGAGGGCAGGTGAGGTGGGAGGAACGAAGGCGAGCGATAGAGCAGTAGGAAAAGAGGCGAGGTTGGGGAGGGGGTGGGGGTTGGTGTTCTTCAAGATTTTCACCTGCTGGTAGAGATGGTAACAAGAATAACATCTGGCAACAGGAGTGGGTCTACTCTCCAACGTCTTGCCCGGGTCGAGGGTTCGACTGCGTGTTCAAACCTTGGACGAGCTGCTCAAAGTGGATGGAACGGCACCGGAGAAGAAAGGAGGAAGAGGGGGAGGAGGAGGGGGAGGGGGACGAGGAGACTGGAGTACCGCGGGAGCAGGCAAGATTGTTCAACATGCCACACACCGTCGTTGAGCATTATGATTGGTTGCCGCCTGTCTATCAGAACAGGTACAGACCGCAACACCATAACGCGCTGAAACTTGAAAGAGATGATGACTGTTTTCGTTCTTGTGTCTTGGATTTTGAGTGTTGTGCCATCAAAGCTGACGTAGTCCTGTAGGAGTGTCTTGCTGTGGCGTACGATCCTTTTTTCTTTCTTGTTTCGTCTACGAGAAGATGTGTCGGTTTGTGACCAACTCTCGTTGCTCATGGCTGCTTCCTTGACAAGAATAATGCGATGCAAGGAGGAGATGGAGAGGCAACTTGAAGCAGAAAGAAGCAAGATGGGTTGGCATGACGAAGACTTGGTTGTTGGTCTGCATGTCAGGCGTGGAGATTCCTGTCGAACAAACATAAGGAGGAACAAGGTGATGATGAGAACTTGAATTAACGACCTAACTTTATCATATCACCACCATCATCATCACCACCACTACCTCCACCACCTCCACCTCCACCTCCATCACCGCTCTCTCCATCTTCTCCAACACTCCGCCTGCATCTCCGTGGCCTCGTCTTCGTCTCTGACCTTTGCTTTTCCTGCAGTGCATTCCTATCTCCCGACACATCCAAGAAGTATCTACTTGTTCTCTTGTCATGTCCTCATCATCCTTTCTGCTGCAGGCAGAGACCATGCTCCAGTTGTACCGATCACAAACAATCTTCTTGGCAACCGATGATGCAGGTCTGTACATCACGATATGCAAGATCATTGCAAAGATCATCTTTGTCATGATTGTCACGTCCGTTCTTTATTTCTTCATCGTTATCACCGCCGCCGCCAACATCACCATCACCATCACCATCACCATCACCATCACCATCACCATCACTATCATCTCAACCACCATAATATACAATGATCTCTTTCACCACGATTCATCACTTCCCCCACACTCACAGCGCACCCTGCTGTCATCTACTTCCTGTCATCACAAACACAACATCATTTGTCCGCTCTCTATCCTAACACAGGATTCAGATGCGCTACAACAAGTCAAGAATCACTTTCAACCGCAGAGCGTTCGCGTCTTGTTCCTCGACGTGTACAATAGGAGCAAACTTGACAGCAGCGATGGCGTCTACATAGAGAAACGACTGCACCCTCGCACGTGCAAGACGATCGCTGACGGATGTCTGCTTGCATCAGAGGAAATCTCCTCTACTCCTATGTTCCTCCTCTCCTCTCCTCTCCTCTCCTCTCCTCTCCTCTGCTCTCCTCTCCTCTCTCTCCCTTCCTCTCCTCTTCTCCCTTCCTGTCCCTTCTTCTCCTCTCCCTTCCTCTCCCTTCTTCTCCTCTCCTCTCCTTTTCTCTTCTCTTCTCCCCCTTCCTCTCCCTTCTTCTCCTTTCCCTCTACTCGGCACCTTTTTTAACCATCATTATCTCTTCTTCGCTGTGTCCCACCTTGTTGCCTTCATCTTTTCTACCTGACCTCTCCTGCAGATGCTCAACTTCACCCTCCTCGACCTTCTCCTCCTCTCCCGCACAGTTGCACTGGTCGGTCACTTCACTTCCAACATGTCAAGGATTGCGTTCATGCTCATGATTCTCTACCACCGTTCACTCCCTCCCTACGTATCTGTCGACGGCCCCTGGTGCCATCATTGGCAGGTAACAGAAGAGATCACATGCTGAACGCTCAATCTTGCATACTTCAGGCGTGTTGCAAGACGAACAGACAAGGGAAGTCCATCCTTTGCCCTTTTGTTGAGACATAAACATCGACTATTTGTTTTGAGTTTATTATGTGCAAAGGGGTTTCCTACAAAGGAAAAGGTGGAGGGGTGAAATGAATGTGACAGGTGGGATGGGATGGGAATGATGACGATGAAGATGGAGCGTGAAGAAGGTGTGGTGAGTGTGGGTGAAGGTGTTGATGTGGTCGATGGAATGTGGAGGAAGTGAAGGTTGAGGTGAATGGGAAATCCTCTGAACAGGGTGAGTCAAGTCAGTCAAGTCAGTCGCCTACTACTGCATGTTTCCAAACTGGAAGCCGCCCTGTGGAGCACCGCCCTGAGGATTGAAGGAGAACCCGCCAGTCTGAACAAACAACAACATCAACACACACTCAACACAGTCGTCATTATCTCCTCACCTGCCCGCTCATGGCCTCGTCGTCATCGTCAACCCCGAAGTAGTTCTCGAGGATCTTCACTGCCATGTCGTAGATCTTCTGGTTCTCGTGTCTCTGGAGGTCCTCGATCTTGTCGATACCACCGCAAACCTCAAGAAGCTGGGCAAAGGGGTTGGTGCCCTCCTGGGTCAAGTTTCTCTGCCCGCATTTAAGAATGTTCTCGATGCCCTCGAGGGCAACGCTGACGATCCTGACGTCAGGCTTGTCCAGGAGGTTGACAAGGGAGGGGATAGCTTGCTTCTCAACCAGGTACTGGATCTGGTAGTCGTCTCCTCCTGAGGTGGCGTTCGAAATGGCCCAGGTGCACTCCTTTCGGATGTCGAACTCCTCGTTGTCAAGCATGTGAATGAGAATGGGGATAATGTCGTGGTCGATGACGGCTTGCAGCTGCTCCTTGCTTCCTGCGGTGATGTTGGAGATGGTCCAGCAGGTCTCCTTGCGGATTCCCTTGCGGTCGTTGGTGAGGAGGGCCTTCAGGCATGGGAGGACGGAGCAGTTGATCACGAGTTGGGTCTGGTTGTCGTCTCCTGTGACAATGTTTCCAACAGTCCTGAGGGCTGGCGTCTTGACTTGGGGGGAATGATGCATGAGGAGCTCGACCAATCTCCTGCATACTCCAGCCTCGATCACTGCCTGGATCTTCTCGTTGGTGCCGTCGGAGAGATAGGAAAGGGCCCAGCAGGCATCGGTGAGAACCTCCTCGTCGTTGGAGTAGATCAGGCTTGCAAGAGTTGGGAGCGCGGGCTTCACAAGGTCGAACACAGGTTGCGGCTTGCCTCTGCAGAAGTTGGAAAGAGTCCATGTAGCATTCCTGAGCATCGAGACTCGAGTAGAGTTCGGGTCAAGCTGCCTCAAGAGAGGCATGAGGGCATTCTGACCCAGCACCATGTCTCTCAGCTTCGCGCTGTCGCCAGCAATGTTTCCAAGAGCCCACACGGCCTGTTCCCTCACATCGTCGTTGGGAGAGTTGAGGAGCTGGACGAACATGGGGATGGCTCCCTTCTCCACGCACACATGGGTGTGTTCAGAGGTTCCCGAGGCAATGTTGGTGAGGGCCCATGCAGCCTCAAACTGCAGGTTAGGAGACTGCCAGTTGCTCAAGAACTCAACGAAACGCGGAACCACCCCAGCGTCAATCACTTGCTGGATGGGAGGGTTCCTCTCAATGGACAAAAGCTTGCGGAACTCTCTGGTCGCCTGCTCCTGGACCTGCTCATCAGGGTCGTAGAGTGCCTGCGTGATTTCGGGAAGTCTGGCAACGTCGATGGACGTTTGTTCCCCAAGCATTGTGTCCCCAAGACCAGAATCCTCCACATTCCTAAGACGCTTGAGCTTGTCATCGGTCTTCTGCTTGCGGAGCTCAACAGTGTTCCTCATCCTGTTGATCCTAGCATCTTGAGCGCTGGTTGCTTGCTTAACGGAGCGTGGTTGTTGTCTGGCAGACATTTTGTTGATCTCGACCTGAAGCGAACAATCAGATCTGTGAGAGAAACACAGCTGAGCAGCCTCGTCAAGGTATGAGAAACATGACCGACCCTATCAATTATGGTGGTTTCTTAGTTACGAACATGAGAGACTTTCACCCTCTTCATACTGCTGGCTACTCTGGTCCAACTACTCTTCGGGGTCGGGGCAAGTACTTTCAATCAAGAAAAACATTCAGCTATGGCAATGATCGAATCTCATGATTGCCAACAACTTCGTGAGTATGTATGTAGACCAACACATTACAAGATTCCTCAACATCACTAATTCATCCTTGCCACAACCCTTGGCAGAATCTGCGCTCTTGCCCTGATGCTACACCAGCCTTCGGAATCGCTAGCCTGATTGATCAGGGGAGTCGAAGAAGAAGAAAGAGCAGTTGCACACTGATGAGGAGGAAGGGAGAGAAGACAAGGAGGGAGAGAGAGGAGATGCCAGGAGCATGTCGCCCCGAGTTCGTTCCCTAGCTCCGCTTCCTCTGCCATCTTGTAGCCTGCAACTCTACCGCTCTCACAGCTGAGGGGAACAAGGCTGGAAAAAAAAACAAAGGATGATAGGACCCCTACCCCTACATAGGATGTGAACTCTGACCTATTCCTCTGAGAACCTGATGACCCGGTGTTGACCAGTATTTCTCACCCGTACTGTGCAGCCATTCTGGACAATCGGACAGATCATAGGTGGAGTGAGTACCCTGACCCCTATTTGCATCACTGAAAGAACGGGATCAAATACTTAGGTGTACCCCCTGTAAACAAGGAGACGATTCGATCAAATCTTGGGGTGATGAGGCAAGGGGTCCTTTCCCGCGTTTTTAAGATCCAATTCGTCCTCTCTGCTTTTTTTCAATCGAAATTCAAAAGTGCCGTTGGATGCGGGGGTCATGGGCACCAACACAGATTCAACGGGGATATGTAATATTCTGAATATTTTCTCATAATTTTCAAATTATCCCGAAAATATTCATTTTGTCAAACGTTTGAAGTCAAATCGAACCGCCCACGTGCCTCTTGAAACCATACTACCCCCCTTGTCTCCTTCTGTTGTGGGGGTACTTGAAGCCTACTACCCCTACCCTCCTCCACACCGTCCGACGAGGAGTACCCAGCGAGGACCCATGTAACGAGACACCAGTGATTTGCCAGTCAAAACCACCCGTCCTTTACCGGGATTGCCCACGACCCGGCGGGCCCGGCGGCCTGGCCGGGGCGGCGGCAACTGGCCAGTGAGTTACCGTACCCGGATTCAGGGCCCGGCTGTACCGTTGACTTGGGAGCCTCCGGAGCCTCGGAGTCTACTAAGTGAGGGCCTGGGCCCGGGGGAGACTTCAGGAGCCAACTTGGAGTTTCAAAGTTTGACGGAGCACAACTTTTGGAGGCACCGGCGAGTCACCGTGCCTGGCCGCCGCGGGCCCGGGGGGGCGCACTGACGTGGGCCCGCCGCCACGGTACTACTAGTAGCTACGGTATCACCGTCACGAGTCCGAGGGGGCCCGGGGCCAAAGCCACTGTCAACTAAGTTGCCGGAAACGTGACACACTTGGAGCTAACTAGATTCTTATTTTCTTGAGTCTTTCGGGCGGGGCCGGCGGCCTAGTACGGTACTGAGGAGGCGAGGCTGTACTCAGTATAGGACCGTGCCCGGTCCGAAATCGGTAGTATGCCGCCCAGGCTCCGGGCCAGCCCGCCGCCGCTCAGGCTCAGGCTGGCACTGACTCGGCCCGGACTGTTGCAGTGGCCCGGCGCGCGGCCGCGCGTCGGATCGGACTGGCCCGGGCAGCGCCGGGCAGTGGCACGGTGGCCCGGACCGTGTCCGTCACCGTCTGACCGGCGGCGGGGCCGCGTGGCGCGGCCGCAATCGGCTGTGACAGTGTGTCACACCCCGGCACGTCGTACTAGTAGTATGGCCGGGCCACCGGCGTCGGAATCAGTCACTGAGTGTCAACTAAGTTGCCGGAAACTCGATCATCGGATCGGATCTCAGGGCGTCCAAGTCCGAGACTCGGCGGAGCAGTGGAGTCAGCTCAGTCGGAAACCGTTGACTCTGACTTGCCAACTTGCCAAGTCAAGTTGAACTCAGCCGCCGGCCCGGGCTACTCCGAGCCCGGCCGGCCGTCACCCGGGCCGGAGCCTGGAGTACGGTCAGTCGCTGATCATCGGCCGGGCGCGTCGAGCCTCATTTTTGGGCTTACTGACTCACTGACTCACCCGTTCAAAGTTGGCAGCCTGAGGGCGCTGGCCCTGTCGGACGGGACTGAGTCAGTGCCAGACTCGGACTCATGACCTGTGGGATCGGAGGCTAGCCCGGCTCGCCAGCCGCTGAATGACCCGGACCTACTGACTCGTTGAACCGAGTCGTACGGGGCCCCGTACTCAGCACGGCCTTGACTAGTTGGCACTACCCGGCGTGTGCCAGGCTGCAGCCGAGCGCGGCCCGAGTTGAGCGGGGAAGAGGGGCAACTTTCAACCGAAAAGCTCTGGCAATGCAAGGGAGCTCAAGGGGTTGGGGGTGGAGGGAGGAGCAGCAGGAAGGATTGGGAGAGGAGGAGAGAGGAGGAGAGAGGACGGGGAAGGGAGGGATAGGAGGAGGAAACAGATGAATACAGTTGTAGGGGAGAGAAGGGAGGAGAAAGGAAGGGCAGCGAGGGCGAGGGGCAGGGGATGAGAAAGGAGGTCACATGGAAGAAGGGCAAGAAGCAAAGCAGCAGCCAGTTCCTAACTGAACCTCCTATTGAGCATACTTCCCTGTCCTTTCCTATCCCCCCCTTCCCCCCAACCCCCCCCCCCCCAAAAAAAAAAAAACTCTTCTTCAGTTCTGTTGAGTATGCCTGCATGCTAGTCGTTCTGTTCTGTTCCGAGCATTGTGACTTGCTTCCCTTTCTTCCTCTCTAACTCGAACAATGGCTGATCGGCTCATGCAGAATATCAACGATGGTGGACATGACGCTGGATGCAATTCAGCAAATCACCAAGGAATTGAAACAATACCAGACGCCGTCCCTCAACGACAAGCTCTACCTTCACTTCAAGGGTTGGAAGAAGATCGAACCTTGCATCAACGAGTACGACGGCGTGAAGGCACTATGGCTGGAAGGCAACGCCTTGAGCAAGATAGAGAACCTGGATAGGCTTGCCAGCCTGCGCTGTCTGTACGTTCAACAGAACTGTCTTGAAGATCTTTCGGGGCTAGAAAACTGTCCTGAGCTTGATGCTATCAACTGCTCCAACAACTCGATCAGGCAGATATCTCACATCGCCCATCTCCAACGCCTCAACACGCTTCAGATCGCCAACAACAAGCTCACTGACGCGTCTGATGTTGAGCACCTCCGGTTGTGCCCGAGCATCGGCGTCCTGGACCTGCAGAACAACAAGCTGGAAGACCCAGCGGTGCTTGAAGTGCTGGCAGACATGCCGAACTTGCGCGTCCTGCAGATGCAGGGAAACCCTGTGACGAGGAAGATCGCTCACTACAGGAAGACGGTGATCGCACGATGCCGCCAGCTCACCTACCTCGATGACCGCCCGGTGTTTGAGGACGAGCGGAGGACGACGACAGCGTGGGCGAGGGGAGGGGCAGCGCACAAGCTTGTAGGGGAGGACGGAAGCAAAGGGGAGCTAACTGCGGTGCTGCTGCAAGAGGCGCTGCAGGATGGGACGTTCGACAAGAACGCGGCGCACGAGGCGGAGAAGGAGGAGAGGGCGGCTATCCGTGCGGAGAAGGAGGAGAAGGAGAGGAGGAACCGGGAAGCCTTCCAGGAAATGATGCTAGATGCCCGCGTGAGGAGAATCAAGCAGATCTTGCCCAACGTTCGACTGTTCAAGGGGATCGCTGAAGACATGCTGGAGGAGCTCTCGTACAAGGTAGCCGCCAATCCCGTGCACAAGAACGAGATCGTGGGGTTTGCCAAGGAGGAGGAGGTGCTGCGGGAGGGAGACGTACTCCAGGGCCTCTACGTCCTTCTCAAGGGCAGGGTTCAGTTCTGCAAGGATGGCAAGCCGTGCTTCGGGGGAGCGAGGCTCGCTACAGGACAGTACTTCGGGGAGGTAACCTAAGATCGTGCTTCCTCCCCACCCTCCCCCTCCCCCTCTCCTCCCCCTCTCCTCCCTCTCCCTCTCCCTCTCCCTCTCCCTCTCCCTCTCCATCCTCTCCCTCTCCTCCCCCTCTTCTCCTTCCCTGCCCATCTTCTCCTCCTCCTCACCACCACTGTCCTGCATCCTGTTGCACTTGATACGCTGCATTTCTACACTTGTCTCGTTTCTCCCTCCTCCGCCAAGCCGATCTCCGCACATCATCTTCATTTCTCCAATCCTCTCCTGCTAATTTCTCGTGTGATCATGATCACAGGTTGCGCTTTGCACAGCAAAAGATCAACAAACAACTGCGGATGTTGTTTGCACGGAATACAGTGATGTCTATCTTCTCACCAAGGAAGATCTCTTGCAGGTAATAATGTCATGACGATGATGAAAACCATGAGGACAATGATGGAGATGGAGATGGTGGTGGGGGTTGTGATGATGATGGGGCTGCTGCTGCTGCTGCTGCTGCTGATCACGACGACGACGACGACGACGACGTCGATGATGGTGATGATGATGATGATGATAATGATAATGTTCAAGATTCCCGGGCTCGTTGGATCGTTACTCTCCTCACTTCTTTCTCCTCCCCTCATGCCTCACCCTCGCCGCAGGTCGCTGAGATCTTTGATGGCTCGCTGGAGGTGCTTCAGGCGAATCGCGCGAGCTCGTTACGTTGCCAGTGGTTTGAGTGCAGGCCATGGCGCTCCTACGAGCTCGTGTCCTCGCAGCGCTCTGCCGTGAAGAGAGAAGGGGGAGCAGATGAAGAAAGGTCCTACTCCTGCTCCTGCTCCTGCTCATCTTCTCGTGTTGCTCAGTTGATCTTGATCCTTCCTACTCTCTCCCTGTCGCTCTCTCATTCATTCCTCTCTTCCTTTATTTGATTCATCTGACTCTTGTCACATTAGCAGCGATGATCGATCCAACAAGATCACAGTGACTTACGCCTCCTTCGTCCTCCTCTCTTCCTCCCGCTCCTCCTCTCCCATCCTCTTTTCTCTCTTCCCCATCCCCCCCCTGCTCCTCCTCCTCTTCCTCCACCTCAGCCATCCCCTTACTTGGCTCTTGTTCATCCCTTCTCTCCTCACGCTCCGCTGCTCAGGCCCCCGTTGCTCCGCGCGCGCAGCAGGACAAGCCGAGTGAATGGACGGAGGAAGATAAATTCATCCTCGAGCTCGCCGAGGCTCAGTCAAAGGGTGAGCGATGGACGAGAGAGAGGCGAACAGAGAGGGAGGGAGGGAAAGATCACTTGTGGAAGCAGGGGAGAGAAGCGAGGAAGAGAGCAGAGCAGAGACGGGATGGGGAGAGAGGGGAAGGGAAGGGAAGGGACGGGAAGGGAAGGGAAGGGACGGGAAGGGAGATAAAGTCACCTCCTGCTCTGACTTCACCTGCAGGAACCACCAAGGTCTTCAAGTTTCATCCCCCCAGCGCCTCCTTCCTCTCCCTCCCGTCGGTGGTCTCATGGTACAAGGGAGGAGGAGGACGCGACCAGCAGCAGAGGCTCAAGCTTGTGGAGCAAGAGCAGCAGAAACGCTATCCTCGCGAGTGGTACGGCAAACATGAGCTCGCAAAGAGCGTGTGGGTCCCTGAAGATGATCTCATGCCCGAGAACGACGAGGACAGGTTTGTCCTCTTTTGCTCTGCTCTGATCTCCATTCCTATCTTCTCCATTCCTATCTTCTCCTTTCCTATCTTCTCCTTTCCTATCTTCTCGTCTCGTCTCGTCTCCCTTTTCTTTGCTCGCCCACATCTGTTCCTGTTCTTGCCAGTGACCATCCTGCCAGCTCCACTTTCCTCACCAAGGAGCCTGCGGAAGGGCAGAGCGACAATGTGAGAGTCAGGGGAATGAGAAGGACTAGGAGGAGGATAAGGAGGGAGAGAGGGGCGAGGATGAGGACGGGGGAAGGGAGTGTGGGACGAGGACGAGAAGGAGAAGGAGTGGGAGGGGGGGGGAGGCGAGGGAAAAGATCTTGACTTGCCCAGCAGACTTACGAGCAACAGTGGAGGAAGCTACAGCAAGACAAGCAAGCTGTCTTGCAGGTAAAGACAGAATTCTAAAACCTTCATCGTACCCTTCGGTTATCACCTTGAAAACTACCCTGCCCCTCCTCCCTCCTCCCTCCTCCCTCCTCCCTCCTCCCTCACGCATTTTTCCTCCTCCTCCTCCTCCTCCTCCTCGTCGTCGTCGTCGTCCTCCTCCTCCTCATCCTCCACGTCGTCCTTTGTTGTCTCACCACTCCTTGCAGCAAGAGGCCCAGAGGCTGGGATGCTCCGTGCAAGAAGTCGCAGAGAAAGTCGAGAAAGGGGAATATCGTACGCTCAAGGTCTATCTCATCCTGCTCCTCCTGCTCCTCCTGCTCCTCCTTCTCCCTCTCTCATTACTTTTCCAACTCTGCTCCCCTTTTCCTGTTCTGCTTCCTCCTCTTTCGTGCTGTCCCTCCCTCCCTCCCTCCCTCCCTCACCCCCTCTTCCTCCCTGCTCCTGCTCCTCCTCTTCTCCTCTCTCTCACTCCCTTGTCATGGGCGGCGACTAAATTCGACGAGCAGGAGGTGCAAGAGGCAGACCCTGACGACGATCTTCCTGACCTCGAGGATGTTGAGGTGAATCCTTCAGCTGCAAAATGCCTCCTCTTCCTCTTTCTCCCTTCTGCCCCTGCCCCTGCCCCTGCCCCTGCCCCTGCTCCTGGCCCTGCTCCAGCTCCACCTTCAGCGCCCTCATTCCTGTTCATTCTGTTCTCCTCCTCGATTTTTGTCTTCAGTCCTTTCAGACCTGTTTCCTCCTTGCTGCCCCTGACGTTCGAACAGGAGGAGGAGGAGGAGGAGGCAGTAGCGACGTCGGTCAGTCTTCGCAGGGAGAGGGTGTTGGTCATCAGTTGAATTGGCTTCAGGTGCAAGTGAAGGTGGAGACAACAAGATACGAGCAGGACAACAAGGACACAGAGGTCCTCCTCTCCTCTCCTTCTCTCCTCCTCTTCTCCTTTCCTTACCCCTCCCCTCCCTCTTTGCCTTCTCGCCATTTTCCTGTCTTCCTTCTGCCTTTACCTCCATTCTCCACTTTGCTCTACTTCCCCTCCTACAACTTCGTTTCTACTCCTTCCTCTTCCCCTCTCCCTCGCTCCCTCCCTGCCTCTGCCTGTGCCTCACATGTTTGTCACTTAGGGCGTCTACAACCGGCAGCTTGAGGCTGAGGGAGAGTACCAGCACCCTCGTTCGACAGCTCAGCCTCGTCAAGACTTTCAATCTGCTTCTGGCTACTCTGGTGAAAAACTCTTCCATTTTCACCTCCTCTCTGCTCTGCTCTGCTCTCAATCATCCCATGGCTCTAACCTTCACATTCGCCGCTCCTCCTCCTCTCCCGTGTAATTTCAATCTTTCAGGTCCTCGTCCTGGGTTTGTGTTCAAGATGGGTGAGCTAGGGTTGGGCTACTACAAAGACGTACGTCCCCTCCTCCTCTCCCTTCCTACCTCGCTATTTCCTCATCCCTCTCTCTCCTCCCAGTCTCATCCCGAGTGCAGGCACTTCAAGAACAGGAGCAGGAGGAGACACCAACTGCATTGCCTGCTCCATCACAAGAGGAGGAGGAGACACGATGGCAGAGCACCATGAACGAGCTTGACTAGGACGAGAACTGCCAGCTGGGACTGCTTGACGTGTGTCATCACTGGTTGATTGAATGGTTTAACTGCACAGTGCCATCCTGCCCAACTCTGCACCAGCGGCTTCTTGAGCTCTTTCAGCTCTCCTGCTTTACTTCTTCTGCATTCACAAGGCATGTCAGGAGAGGAGAGGAGAGGAGAGGAGAGAAGGGGTGGGGAGAGGAGACGAGTGGAGTGGAGTGGAAGAGGAGGAGCAGAGCAGAGCAGAGGACAGGGCGCAGAGAAGAGGGAGCAGAGAAGAGGAGAGAAGAGGGAAGAGAGGCTTTCGAACAAGAGAGGAGGACGAGACGAGTGCTAGATTGAAGATCTAGCGACGATAAGAGAGAGGGAAGGGAAGAGGAGAGGTAGGCAAGGAGTGCAAAAGGAGCAAGGGAGGAGGAAGTAGCAGAACCTTCTTGGTCTTCTTCTTCTTGGAAGCTGCCGACTGGGCCTTCGAGGATGCTGCTCGTGCTAGTCGTCAGCGCCAACCCCACCAGCCACCTCTGAGTTCACATGAGGCTGTCTCGCCAGCTCCTCCTTCTCCCTCCTCCTCCTGGCACATGACACCATCAGACTCCTCACAATTACCTCCCACACTCCCTACATCCTCAGCCGGTCCGTCGCTGCTGCCTAGCGTCCTCTCTTGCGCGGTCCCGGTGCCCCCCTCCAACGCGGAAAAATTCTTTGCTTCATCCGATGGTACTGCAGCCTTGGTGGCCTCCTCTTCTGCCGCTACCTTCTTCTTGGCCCCCTCCTCTTCTGCCTTCTTCTTCGCCTTCTCCTCGGCATTCCTTGCCTCCTCCGCCTTCTTCTTCGCCTCCTCCTCTGCCTTCTTCTTCGCCTCCTCCTCTGCCTTCTTCTTCGCCTCCTCCTCTGCCTTCTTCTTCGCCTCTTCCTCTGCCTTCTTCTTCGCCTCCTCCTCTGCCTTCTTCTTCGCCTCCTCCTCGGAATTCCTTGCCGCCTCCTCCTCTGCCTTCTTCTTCGCCTCCTCCTCTGCCTTCTTCTTCGCCTCCTCCTCTGCCTTCTTCTTCGCCTCCTCCTCGGCATTCCTCGCCTCCTCTGCCTTCTTCTTCGCCTCCTCCTCTGCCCTCTTCTTCGCCTCCTCCTCTGCCTTCTTTTTCGCCTCCTCTGCAGCATGTGAATTCGACGGCGCCTGCAATTCGTCAACATGTTGCAATCTATGACGCAACTCCAGCAATCAACCATGGCCGCCAGCTTTGGAGGAGCGACTGACTGCGGAGCAGGCCCACTTTCAATCTAGCATACTATTAGCTGATGGGCGCGGGTGGCTGAGCAACAGAGGACAAATATGTTCACAGATCGAAACAACGCGCGATGCAAGCATGCAAAGGGACAAGCACCATGAAACAAGGACAAAGTCCTGTCACCTTCATGCGTTTTAGAGTGAATTCCATCCTCGTTTTCTGCGGTCCTGCGGACGGCGAGGCTTCAGTTGACATCCGGGATAAAAACTTGTCAGAAATGAAACCTCTCAGGACTGTCACTTGTATCGAGCTGTTCTCCGGTCCAGCGAACATCGGGGCCTATGATGCGGAGTTACCGGGCTACACCACATAGAAGAAAAATAACTGACAATGTCACGGACTGTCCTGCCCATCACGTTCAAATCTCCAACCTTCTCAATGATATCTGATGCCTTGCTCCAACAAGTCACTTTACGATTCGTCCCTCCCCACTCCCACCTTCAGCCCTGCCCTGGCAGCAGAGCCCTGAGGGTGCAAGTCCTGGACAGTGATCTCTCCGTCCTCATTCCTTTCCATCCCATCATCACCCATCATCTTCACTCGCAGGCAACCATGCTCACCTCTGCAACTTGATGCCAACCCCTGCTTGCGCCTTGTGACACATCAGTCGATCTCGAGTACAAGTGTGCATGCAAGAGGCTCGTCTCACCACTGTCCCTCTCAGCAGCTTGACAGGGACACGAATCCCAGTCTTCACTGCGGTACGTGTTACCACCAGATCTTATCAGACCGTCACTACACACCTTTGAGCACTACGATCTCAACTTCGGAGCCTTGCGGCCCCACGATCAGGTGAGAAATCTCCTGGACCTGCCAGCTCACACTATCACAACCTAGCTTGCTGCTCTTCCATCACGTCTACGACCTTTTTGCCCTGTACGTCACGCCCGTCGACCGTGACCAACACGTCACCTACCAATCCTCACTCCCAACAGCACACCGCTTCCCACGACTTCCAGCGACTCACCAACGCCTATCACGCCACATGCGGCGCACGGCCCCCCTGCGACGATCTCTTGCACCTGCGACATGTTCATCCTTGGACATCACTTGAACTCTCTCTACATACCTGAAGCTTCGAGTCAAGGCGGAGACCGATTCCGACGTTGCCGCCAATCGCAGCAGAAGGTACTTCAGGCCTTGCCAGCGCCATTCTTGTCCTGCTCTAAGATTCATTGAGATGAAAACGCCCCAAGGCAGAAGTTCTGTAATGATTTGAGAATGAAAACTTCCATTCCTTGCTTGCTGTCAAATACTTTCCGAACCTTACTTTCTTCCCGAATCTCAATCCTCAAATTCCTTCCATTCCCAGACAGGAATAGGGTTTATTCATCCATCAGGAGGAGTCAACTATCGGCTACGTCAATCTAAAGAACATGAAACACTATTGACCTCTCTGATTCTTGTCATACAGTGTTCTTTTCAACGCAGCTTGCATTTCACATGCCACTCTTCCTCTCTTTCCCTCTGCAGTTTTTCAAGCTCGCAACGCAGGTCTTGACAAAATTTACCCGAAACTCTGTCAAGTGCTAGCTCATGACGAGAGCTAGTCATCGTACCATGAAACGGCTCTGAGGTAATGTGCTGCAAATTCTGCTTCCTTTGTTCAGTTGTCGCTTGTCTGCTTCTCCTGATAGCTCTAGCCTCCCCCTTGCTCCTGCTCCTGTTCCTGTATAACCTAAGTTTTCAACTGAACTCCCTGATCCCACTGCTCACCGTACTTCTACTTCCTCCCCTCCTCCTTCACTTCGCACTTCCCCCCTTCCGCCCCGCATGTCCATTGTGCCTCCTCAGAATCCTGACTACCCCCCTTGACCACCTCCGTATTTAGAGGTGATTTCAGACTGCTAATCACCCCTCCATGTAGAACCACCCCCGATACAATTTTAATGACCTACCCCTACCGCCTTCATTCTGTCAGTACCCCCTGTAAAAGACTGAAATTTGCTGTATGCCCTCTAGCTCCCTAGTTTGTAGGCGAAGCTACTCTGAAAAAGTCATCACCTATGGATAAGACTACCCCTTTTTGAAAATTACCCCACCCTTGGTAAAGTATACCCCACCCTTGACATATGCACACTTGTTTAAACTTCTCAGGTGGGGTGGATTACCAGGACCCCACCGCATGGATATCGATCAAACACCTCACTGCAGTCTACAAAACATTTTACGCGAGATTTGAGGATGCACGCTGCGGAGAGGGGATGGACAACAACCAAGACAGTAGCACTCTAGAGGAAAGCAAGCATACCAACAAGCAGAAGAGCAGATAACGTACTCTACAGAAAATTTGTCAAGGAGACGAACACACCAGGTAACAGGTCAAGATACGACACAGCAAGGAATCCTTGCAAGATGCAGGATAAAGGAAATGCTCAAACGAACATCCGCAAGAAAGCTCTCACCCCCGCACTCGCCGCCGACATCTTCTCACAGAGGTCCCTCAAGCCCGGCTATGCTACCGTCGAGAGCTCCTTCGTCGCAAAGAAGTACGGGGTCAGCTCCAAGACAATCCGCGACATCTGGAGCCGCAGGACGTGGACCGAGGCAACTCGGCCGCTGTGGACGGCAGACGAGATAGAGTCTACAGGGACAGAGCCAGCGACACGCCTCGGCAGCATGGACGGGGGCTCGAGCGGCTCCTCTTCTCCGAAGGACTGCAAGGCAGAGAGGGGCGAGGACGGCAGCAAGCAAGCGACAGGCTCGCGGAGCTCGGAGACGAGCGCAAGAGGCTCGAGCAAGGGGTCCATGGAGACGAGCAGCGGCACATCTTCCTGCACGCGCCGACTTGAAGCCGACGACTCACCGCCCGAGGGCTCGAGCAGCCCGGGCTCGGGCTTGGAGCCTCAGGCCTCGACGTCGTCGTGCTCGTCTTCGGCAGGGTGCAGAGAGAAGAGGCATCGTTACACGGCCAAGAGAAACAAGACCGTGAGTCAGGAGACGGAGGAGGCATATCAGGGCAGCGAAGAAGCAGCGTCAGGCAGCAGCAACGAACTCAAGGAGCCTTCGTCAGACTCAGAATCGAGCAAGAGCTGCCCATCCCCCTCGTTGGCAGGAGGGAAGCGTAGAGCAAGCCGAAGGGATGGAGATCAGAAGAAGGAGGCCCAAGGAGAGTCCCGGAAGCGTCTACGGAGAGCATGCACACGGGAGGGAAAAGAGTCGCTGGTAGACATGCTTCTGTCCCAGCGGATGACAGGGCGGCAAGAAGCGGGCTGTGGGATGGAGCCAGCCAATGGGAGGCGCATGGAAGGGGCGAGGGCGGAGAGCCCATGTAAGAAAGAAGAGGAGAATGACTGTGGAGGAGAAGGAGCAGCAGCAGAGATCTTGGGGCTGCTGAGACGGCTGACAAAGCAGCAGGACGAGATCCTGGAGCTGCAGCAGGTTATGCTGGAAAACTTATACCGATCTTGGCGAGCATTAGCTTGAATACGTCAAAGCTGAACGGATTGGTGGAATCAACTATTTTCTGGACGTGGGTCGCAGTCAAGATCTTTTTTCAGAAGAGCTTTTTGCAGAGATGTAAAGGTTGATCGTAGGGCCTATGAAGAGGCATGTTCTCAGGCTTGAAAATCCCGAATGTCGGGATCTTTGGGGTGTGGTTGCTTTTAAGCAAGAAAGAAGAATATGAAGGATAATCTCAGAAAGGCCATTCATATAGTTACAGCTTGTTGTGAGGGCAAAACAATAAACGAAGGTAGTAATCTGTAGGGACGAGCTTACGATAAACAGAAAGGAAATGGATTGAATGTATGCGTATATCTAATTTCACTTGAGTTGTAAACATCTTTGATGGCAAGTAAGTAGAAAAATGTAAATCTGTCACGACGCAAGAAATCAAACTTATATCAAAAAACAAGAAGCAACAACAGAACCGCTAAGTCCAAAAGTATCAAAGAGGTCGGCAGGGTACCAAAAAACCACGCAACGATCGGTATAAGTTGTCCAGCATAACCTGCTGCAGCTCCAGGATCTCGTCCTGCTGCTTTGTCAGCCGTCTCAGCAGCCCCAAGATCTCTGCTGCTGCTCCTTCTCCTCCACAGTCATTCTCCTCTTCTTTCTTACATGGGCTCTCCGCCCTCGCCCCTTCCATGCGCCTCCCATTGGCTGGCTCCATCCCACAGCCCGCTTCTTGCCGCCCTGTCATCCGCTGGGACAGAAGCATGTCTACCAGCGACTCTTTTCCCTCCCGTGTGCATGCTCTCCGTAGACGCTTCCGGGACTCTCCTTGGGCCTCCTTCTTCTGATCTCCATCCCTTCGGCTTGCTCTACGCTTCCCTCCTGCCAACGAGGGGGATGGGCAGCTCTTGCTCGATTCTGAGTCTGACGAAGGCTCCTTGAGTTCGTTGCTGCTGCCTGACGCTGCTTCTTCGCTGCCCTGATATGCCTCCTCCGTCTCCTGACTCACGGTCTTGTTTCTCTTGGCCGTGTAACGATGCCTCTTCTCTCTGCACCCTGCCGAAGACGAGCACGACGACGTCGAGGCCTGAGGCTCCAAGCCCGAGCCCGGGCTGCTCGAGCCCTCGGGCGGTGAGTCGTCGGCTTCAAGTCGGCGCGTGCAGGAAGATGTGCCGCTGCTCGTCTCCATGGACCCCTTGCTCGAGCCTCTTGCGCTCGTCTCCGAGCTCCGCGAGCCTGTCGCTTGCTTGCTGCCGTCCTCGCCCCTCTCTGCCTTGCAGTCCTTCGGAGAAGAGGAGCCGCTCGAGCCCCCGTCCATGCTGCCGAGGCGTGTCGCTGGCTCTGTCCCTGTAGACTCTATCTCGTCTGCCGTCCACAGCGGCCGAGTTGCCTCGGTCCACGTCCTGCGGCTCCAGATGTCGCGGACTGTCTTGGAGCTGACCCCGTACTTCCTTGCGACGAAGGAGCTCTCGACGGTAGCATAGCCGGGCTTGAGGGACCTCTGTGAGAAGATGTCGGCGGCGAGTGCGGGGGTGAGAGCTTTTCTGCGGATGTTTGTATTGGTGCTTGTTGCCGATGCTGTTGAAGAGTTTGCGAGCATCTGCGCATTGTTGACGATGATGATTTGCATGCTGGATCTAGAAGTGTTACTGATATCTATGTGATGTCTTTCTCACAAGCTGATTTCTTCTTCTAGCTGTCGTCTCATGAGACTCGCTGCTGCGGAGAGGGTTTCTGCATCGTTTCGCAGTAGGGTCGCAAGCTCGAACGATTTCCCTACAATCTCAAACTGAGATCTCGTACGATCTCAGTTGTGTAGAACTTCGGAACCCTGATAAGTTCTTGGAGACGGTGAGAAGTTCAGGGAAACGTGTCTCATCAGTGGACGAAGCTCAGCGAGATTGACTTAAGTCGGGACATAGGAAATCGACGAGCCGCTGGAGGCCCCCGTCAGGCATGGAAGGGGGCTTTTTACTCAGAAAAAGGTCACAAGGTCGGACCGCTCGTGGGGGCGGCCCGTTGTGCCACCGGTGAGTCAGTTCGGCGCCGGACTCCGGGAGGCACCGGGCGAGTACAGTACGGTGCACGGCGACGACGGTGTACCGGGTATAGTATGGCCCCGGGCCTCAGTGGCAGTGGGTCCGGCGGGCGCGGCCCGGGGGGCACTGATCATCATGACATATGTCTCACGCCGGACTCGGTGATATGATTCAAGATTGGCACTTCAATCGGAACTTAACGGAAGCGCGGCCGGGCGGCTCAGCTTGCCAAGTTGACCGGCGCCCTACTATGATGATCGGACTGAGCGCCGCCCGGCCCGGGCGGCGCCGCCGCCACCGCGGGCCGCGCCCCGGCGCCCGGCGCGCCGATGAGGCCACCCGGCGGACTCAGTGATGAGCCTGTGCCACCGTGAGTGACCGTGACGGCCCGGCCACTGGCGACTCCCGGAGTCCGACGTCGGGCACCGTGACTCAGCCTGTGAGTCACACCCCACGGGCCAACTTCCGATCACTGACATGCCATCATCATGATGACGGGAGTCCGACTTTGAGCAAGTTCCGAAGTCACAGTTCGGACTGCCCGGGCGGCCGGGCCGGCCCGCGGCCGGGGGGGGCGGCCCCCGGGCCCGGAACGTGACGGCCCCGTCTCTCGTCCGAGATCGGCGTACCGGGGCCCGCGGCCGCGTCACGGCGCCCGGCCGGCCCGGGCGAGTCGGCCCGGCCCGGGCGCGGCCCAGGCGACCGTACACTGCCCCGGCGGTCACGGTGCCCGGCGCGGCCACTGCGGCCCGGCCCGTGCCACGGTACGGTCACACTGTGACGGCACGGTGAGTCGGAGGGCCGCCGGGTCCGCCCGGGGCCCGGGCCCGCCCCGGGCCGGCCCGGCCTTGAGTAATCGCCAGGATCGCTGGCTCTCCCGTGGCTCTCCGTCAGGCTCTTGGCACAGAATGCAGCGCTGCATGGGTTGTGCTACGGTCCAACCGAAGTAGGTGAGAGAGAAGATGGAAGGAGGAGGAAGGGGAGATGATTGTGGTGATGTAGGAGGAGGAGGAGGAGGAGGAGGAGGAGGAGGAGGAGGAGGAGGAGGAGGAGGAGGAGGAGGAGGAGGAGGAGGAGGAGGAGGAGGAGGAGGAGGAGCTAGGAAGTGAAATGCTACGAGAGATGGATGATATCCGCTAGAGGGTTGATGGAAAGTGCATGTAAGGTCGAAGTAGGCTGGGGCGAGATGTGATTGGAGGTACGACGGAATACTCCATAGAGAATATCAAAATGAGTAGTCCGTATCACAGTATGACGAGGAAAGTACCTGATTCTGACTTCAGGAGCAGCGCGATCAGCAACTTCGTGGCAGGATGGAGAAGAAGAAAAGTGATTATGGAGCGTTGGATTCCAAGGAGAGGTGACATGATTGCGCCTGCTCAGCTTCATGTTCACGTGCTTGTGCTCGCAGTAAAGAAGCGTATGAGCGAGCTGGAGGGGTCAAATTGGTGGACCACCCTCTGTACAAGAAGCCGGCTCTTCGGACGTGAACTAGTTCAATTGCTCCCAACACTCCTCACCCTTTGCTCTTCAGTTCTGTTCGATCGATTCTTCCCCGCATGATGTGCCTTTGCCTTGTGCTGGTTATCGTGTGCGTGGGCTCGGGGGTGAGTGTGCGCGACGCAGAGAATTGTTGTGATGCTCACGACATGGGCAGTATGTTATGTATGTACAGCTCGCGTCAGGATACGTTCCAATTAAGGTGATAGGAGCTGAAACTTCAACAACTTGGTGTGCCTAAAGCTACCTCCGAGCCTGGGACAACAGCATACAGCTTGACACATCCAGGAATGGACAGGATGCGGGGGCATGAAGCAGGTGCGGAGAGAAGCCTGCTGTGAGTGACACAGTCTTGACAGCATACTAGGTCCCTCACTTCAATCCATGAATCACCTCCGTCCTGCCTTGCAACCGGTGCCTGCCGTTATGCTGTTGTCTCAGCAATCGATCATGACGTATGTCCAGTACTATGCACACCACAAGGCGAGCAGAGAGCACATGAAGCCCAAGAAAGAGTGGATCCATGCCGAGGAGAAGGTGTTGTGACGAGGTGAGAGAGTCCCTGGCATGAGGATGATGGGCCGCAGGAGAACGGACATCTCTGGAAGGAATGGTGCAAGAAGATGTCAGTGGGAGTGCGGGTGCTATCATTAGCTGCCAACCCCTCTTGCTGACGCTGATTCCAGAGAAAGTGGTGCCCTCAGTACGAGCGGTCAGTGCACGAGGAGATCAAGAGGTTAATCTGAAGTCGTTCGAGCTTGTTTCTACTATCGTAGCGTCCAAGGGCTTCAAGTCTCGATGGCACCTCCCATCTTCAAATCTTGTTTCATTCAGTGATCAGGCAACTCCCATATTCAAAACTAAACTCGAGGAAGCAGCAAGTCCGGGCTTCGCGCCAGCCGAACATAACCGGGATGGCTCTTGAACAATACCAGCAGAGCACCAGATAGTTGTACTCCTTCGAGTTTCGGAGCTACTTCGAGGCCAGCTCCTCGACAATCGCATTGATGACGTCGAGAATGGCGGGTTTGCAAGCCTGATGAGAAAGTCAGATGGAGCAGGAGGCAGGACAAGAAACTGTAACAAACAGGAGGTGTAGGAGTACAAAAACAAGCTTTGCTTGCAAAATGACGATACAAGGCAATGGAACACTGCACTGGATGAGGGAGGAGAGATGCAATGAAATGACCTTGAGATCAGCATCAATCTCGGCTTGATTGTTTCCTGCCTTGTCCACTTTCACAGATAGGTGCAGCTCGCTCAGAGCGCTTGATGACACCTGCCACACCGTAAGCAAGAGCCGCAGCCAGTTACTGTACCGCTCTGACCTCTGTAATCTCCAACTTCCCTTTGGCCTCCCCCCCTTCCACCTTCCAGCCCAACTTGATCTTTTCGATCTCGATGACCGACTTTTTCTTCCCACGGGAGAAAACGTTGGCTGCATGGCAATCGTCTATACTCGACACCTGCACTCTCAATGTGAGGACGGACGAGGGAAGACAGACATAAATTCCAATCGACCTCCTTGAAGGTTACGAGGCCCTTGGGGGATGCAATCTTTGGAAGAAGCTCCTTCAGTCTCTGCTCTGCCCACTTGGTGTAATCCTTCTCCTCCCATGTCCCTCCCTTGTTCCATGAGCTGTGCCCTGCAAGCTCCGAGTCACCGGAGAGGAAGAGCAGCGAGAGGGTCGTGCCCTTACCCGACTCTAGCGTTTGACTAGCCTGCCTTTCCAGTTCTGCTACCTGAAGCAAACTCGCATCAGGTGTTTCCTTAGTGTTGATGGCGTCTTTTGAACCTGTTCTGCATCCAGTGCCTTATGATTGTAGATCTCCGTGGCGCCCACCAAAGTCTTTGGGGAGTCTGACCGGACCTGAGCTCTCCATTAGTTTCATCCCACGTCCTGGTCTCCTTTACTCCACCTGATTGTGGGCATAGTAATATGACGACTTCTCGGCCAGAGGGCGAGCCTGTGAATCTCCTTAGACCGTCGGAAATAGCATGAGGGATAAAGACAGTAAGCACAGCTATCAAACACGCGCTGCATCGCAAGGAGCCATGGCATGCACTGCTCACGTTTGCGTTGCCCTCGCTCGTGTCCTCAGGGTTTGTACTGGACTGAGAAACCGCTGCCATCGTCATATATGATGCCCCTTGTCAATTCTTTAGCACAGATGAAGTTGAATTTCCTAGAAATGCGAGTCAAGACGATTCAGCAATCCTCTATCCACAGAAAACGCACTGGCAATTGCCAAGGAATGCTCAGTGTGCGGTACACAAGAATTTGGTGAGAACCGTAGCTAACTGATCTGGAACGTCGATCTTTCTCATCTTCTGCACGAAACTAATTGAAAAATGCAGCTGAGCGTGTCTTTGACTGCAAGGACAGGCAACAAACATGCATTTCACGGCAAGATACCACGACAGGCTCGCAACAGGCGCGATTCAATAATTGGAACAGAAACAGAAAGACCTCAAGGTTCCATACAAGTGCAGTGCCTCTAGACGATAGCACAGGTTGTGCATCGAATCAGAGGCAGAAGCACAAAACATAGAAAAATATCATTTGCAGTCTACATGAAGACTTGCAAGGGGATCAACCATGGAGAGCTACAGCCGGAGCAAGACGATCAGCTACATATCCTGCCGCAATGAATTTTTGCTGTAGGAGATCAACGTGCTATTTCAGGTCACGTGTGGCAAGCAGTGCATGAATGCAAGAACCAGACAGTCAATTTTGAGTCGAAAATCACTCGAAAACACACATCATGAGACCAGTCCATCAAGCTGGCATCAGAGAGCATGAGAGGGGAAGGAAAGATATGCTCATATCCTCATGCCTTCCCTGTTTCTCCTCAGCAAACGCATCCTTCTCTGCCACTACTTGTGTCGGCATGCATTCTGTTCCCGTCCCTCTAACATGGCGCTCATGAGGAGATGAAAGCTTGGGTGGCATGAAGGGGGTGGGGGTGATGACCCCACCTGGAAATCTCAGATAGAAGATTCCGATCTGCTCCAATTGTGGTGGTGAGGGTTCCAAAGATATTCTGGAAATTGGGAGGCCTCGAAAAATAGTGATGAAATTTAAATATTTGGTAGGCTTCAAGTGCAAAATAAAAATACATGAATGATGAAATATTTCAGAGCTGTTGAATTCAATTCTCCAAATGGCCACAATGCCAGTCAGATGGGTAGGTGGGTATCTAACACCACGGGTAGTGTACTCTTTGGATTTCTGGAAAGGGGGTGAAGAGAGCTGAGCGGCAAACCAAGGGGTAGGATGGAGTTTGTATGGGGGTAGGGTTGTAAGTTTCATTCTAGACCACGGGTCTTTTGACTAATTGCTACACATACACAACAGGACCCCCAGGAGGCTCACGGGTAGTGGTACACGGGGGTGGTACGTAGGATATAGGTAGGGTGAACCTTCCAAGCGTTCTGGGGTTCTATGACGCTGGTCTAGGATGTGTCCTAGGAAATAACTAGAACTATTCCACCCTACCCCATGAGTGCTTTGTAAAGGGGAGGTACCCCCCTTGAGCGGTCAGTAAATAATGACTACCCCCTCGAAGTACTGCGCTGAACGTTCACCAGATCCGTTTCTACCACCCCCCCCTTCTCGAACACCCCAAATATACAATCAGTACCCGTCCTTCTTTCGAAGATTCGGAGTCCTTGCCACCACAACGGTTTGACCGGCGGCGGGCCGGGGGCCAGGAGTCCGCAGCCCTCCGGCGCCGAACTTGCCTGCAGTGCCCCGGCCCGGCGGGGCCCGCGGCCCGGGCCCGGGGCGGCCGCCTCACAGCCTCGGAACCAGCGGCTGGGGTTGAGAGGGCTCGGAGGAGGGAGGAAGCCTGGGAGAGGGGAGGGGATGGGAGCCTCCGAGCCGGGGGAGAGAAGGACTCAGTGACAGTACGCTACGGCCCGGTAAGGACCTTGTACTCAAAGTTAAGTTAAAACTCAGTACGAGGACAATCAGGAGAGTCGAGGAGGCGCTACGGTACTAGCCGTACGGTCCGCACGGTCACAGCTGTCACAGTGCGGCAGCAGTGAGTATGACTATAGTATCAGTGAAGGCTCGCCGGACTGCCGGACCCCCGGAGCCTCGGAGTCGGCGGCGGCCCGGGTCACGGCCGGGGTCACGTTCAGGCCTGTGCGAGTCTAAAAAATGAACCCGTCATTTGATATAATCATGAATGAAGGGGTGGGTGGGGGTACCCAAAAGTCTTGTATGGGCGCATGGATTTGAACTTTTCATGACCCGTGCTTAGATGCGGAAAAGACAAGATATCACGTGGGTGGGGTAGTACTCTGGTATGTTGTTGTCAACTGGGAAATGGTGGGTGGAGGGGGTCGTTTTCTTACGAAGGGGTGGGTCATTCATGAACAGGGGGTTGCTAGTTGTGTACTGTAGGGGTGGTGGTCACTTTCGGAATGTCGCCTTCCAGATGTGTAGGGATGTCTTTGTAGGGGGTAGGGGGTACATCAGTTCCAGTACAAATAGTACCAGGGGATGAAACCATGAAAGGGTAGTGAACATTTTCATGGAAATGGAGTGGGTAGGGTGGTCAGAGGTTGTCCTTGGAATGCACAGTGATGGTAGGATAGGGTGATGTAACTATGAGCAACTGATAGATGGGAGGATCGACAGAGCGAGCGAGAGGAGAAAAGATAGTGGAAGGACGCAGAGCCATGGGAGAAGAGATACACCAGCGAGACGAAGACGTAGAGGACCCAGAAAATCGCAAGGGAAGACAACTGTGTAGAATGACCAACCGACGACCATGGCGAAGGGGTATGAAGAGTAGCATCCATCCAGAGTGGCCAAAGACGAGACATGGTTATGTACAAGGTACATTTACTGATGCTGACACAACGTGCGGCTGTAGGGATTATAGTTGTGGATGTACTAAGGGATAGAAAAAACTCGCAGAAGGAAACGAGAGAACTAGGAGACGCGGAAAGCATGCAAGTAGTGTATACAACGAGGAGAGTATTCGAACAAGAGAAACAGAATCAACATTTCTGTTACAGGATGAGAATATTTTGTGGCAGAAGTGTAGATAAATATAGAAAAGCAACAGACAGTCTCAAAGAATTTTCGAAGAAAGATGGCAGTCTACAGGAGGGACACACTAACGACGAAGGATGACTCTGTGAGATGGTACACAGCTCTGTAGAGCCAGGTCGACAGGGTTATCAATTGATATGAGGAGGAGAGGCATGCTCGCATGTTGAGTTCCGCGCGACCCTGCATGGGACTTTTCTTTCAGTCATGCGCAGAAGGGTCTTTGAGCCTCAGCAAAGAGCAGCTGTTTCGCTTTGTATCATCATGCGTTCCTACATGATCACTTGATTTCGATGAGTTCCATTCAGCCTGATCTATCTTGGTCTCGTTAGTCTTTCAAGAACTTTCGAGAACAAGGGAAGGAATAAGCAGGGGGACGAGGCAACATGGCAGCGGCGGCAGCTTGTAAGCTCTGATCTTGATTGGTTTGGATCTATCTAACTTGCTCTCAAAGCGGCACATGCCATGAATCAAGCGACGAAGAAGCGACATGAAGCGGCGAGGAAAAGGCAGGAGGAGGAGTACAAGATAATGAAGGTACCAACAGCGCAGTTTCCACATCGATCCGTTAGAAACGTCTTTGTTGCAGCTCATGAACAAGTATGACAAGAGCAAGGACGGGAAATTGGACAAGAAGGAGTTCGGGGATCTGCTGCAGGTGCCATGTTCGCCTTGGCTGCAGGTGCTCACGAGTTTGAGAAGGAAGTCAACGACGGGGTGCGTCCGCCCGACGAGGAGATCACGCACATCTACCAAGTTGCCGATAGGGAGGGACAAGGGGACAAGGATGGGACGCTGGATCTTCAAGAAGTAAAGGTGATGACGTCACTGCGGTGCATTGCCCTTAGACCTGACGTGCGGGAAGAGCGCGATCGAATCATGGCGAGCATACTTGCAGAACAAAGATCAGATAGACGAGGCGTTCAAGAAGTATGACACAGACCACAGGTAGCCATTGGGGGATGCTGTTGCTGGCCAGCCTGATTGTCTGCAGCGGGAAGCTTGAGTTCGAGGATTTCAAGAAGCTTCTAACGGACCTCAACGACGGGATCCCTCCGTCCGACCAAGAGGTGAAGTAAAAGAATTTGCGTCGGGGTTGGGTGACGTTGAGCAGGTGAAGCAAGTAATGGACAAGGCTGATGGGAAGGATGGAAAAGTTGAGGGAGGTATATTTCTGTTGACGCTTGTCTGCTCCCGCAAGTGATCACGAAGCTTGTCAGCCCTCGGAAGGATGGACATTCTGTATGCAGTTGGAGTGTGGTAAGTCATAGTGAACGTCTCCACGATGCTTCGACACTCAACGTCTTGCAGGTACTCATATGTAGATCACCAGCAGAAGCAGGAGGAGGTCAGTTCTTGCTGCTCGATCTCGTAATCTGCTACCTCTCGCTCAACAACTCTTCAAATGTGTAAGTATTGGGAAATTCCAGTGCGAGGTATTATTCTGCTTCATTCCAATGTCCATGGGGAGAAAACAAATAATGAAAACGTCCAAACAAGATTCCTAGCAGATTCACAGCGAAAACTCGGTGCTGGTCTTGTCTCATCAACGGACGTGCACGCGCCTGATATGATATCGTGCAAATCCCATTTTTTTACCCTCCCTGCTTCTCCTAATCGTCGTCGTCCTGGCTCTTCTTCACCTTAACATGTCTCGTCTTTCTTTCCTCATCATCACTGGGCGGCACATAGTTCTTGGCGAAGAAGCTCGGTCGAATCACCTCAATCAGGGCTCTTTCTGTCTCCGGCGGGATCGCACTGCAGGAGTAAGTCAGTTACCGCTGTATGAGATGACGCAGCGATCTTACTCCGTAGGCCTGAGCGACGATGCTGATGGGTCAGGCTGTTGCATCGTGTCAGGGCTGGACGGCGGCGCTGGCACAGCGAGGGTACAGACCTCCTTGAGACGCCACAGCCTCTTGTGGGCACCAATAATCTGCATCTCCTGCACTCGCGAGTCATGGCAGGGGACGGCAAGAACATCGCTCGTGTCTCACCTTTCCTTCGTTCTGCATTTGGCCTTTCCATATGAATTTACCCCATATCCTTCTGTTTCTATTCGTCATCTTGACCCTGCACATGTTTGAGTCAGAATACACGTAGCACTGTAATCAATCATGCACCTTGTAACAATCCAATAGGACTCAGGTTCCTTTCCAATCCAGTTCTGTCGTATGATCCTAAATGCAAGAAATCATTTCCTTTCCTTGAATCATGCTACCACAACACAAGGCTTTGATGAAAGAACTTCTTCTCAATCACAAACACACTGGTTCAGTCACAAAAAGATCAGGGTCACAACTGCACATCGGTGGCGTACAGAGCAAAAGGGAGCAAGGAGGAGCAAACGATTTCAACGACAAACTACATTGCCAGAGAATTCAATTGACGGCTTACCTCCAGCCAATACCCCAACAGTCAAGAAGATACATAAGATCGAAAGCGTTGTTCCCTGCTCCAAGTCAACTGAAAGCCACAGCAGAGTCCTGCTCCTACCTCTGTTATGCAGTGGGAAGTACTTTGCAGATATCTCAGCAATGTTAGGATTAATGATGTCCGTAGTTCCCTCTCCTTCTTCCTCCTTCTTGCTATTGTCTATACACAGAGGAAAAGACAGATTAGACATGGCCATATGAAAGCGCTGCAGCACCTGTGCTGAAAAATCTTGAGGGCCCTGTCCTCAAGCTACCCCCGACGTTTTGGCTGATGAGACGTCAGGAGGAAGAAGGACAGGGAGGGAAAGCGACCTAGTAACAGCCAGAAATCCTCCTCCTACCACTTCATGTACCGACAAACAGCCCAAGTGCAGTCGCAGTGGTGTGTTGTAGGCTAGAGGGAGCCTTGACCGACTGAATTCGGGAGAGGAACGGGAGGAAAGCAATAAGGAGGATGGAAACGAGGAGCTCGACGAGGGGCTGCATGGCTGCGCTACTACCGCAACACGGGATCGGGGAAACCTGGACCTTGCGACAGGGATGGCCGACGAACAGGACATAGAGGAGCGAGGACGGGAGGAGGAGGGGAAGGAGGCAAGCGGGGAGAAGGAGGATGAGCAGATGGTAGGGTAAGCCCCTACCTGCATCCTCCGCATGCCAGTCGACAGGCTGCCCACACAGGCAGAGGAGCGCAGCATGCGCCGCGGGCTTTCAGGGAGGTGCGGGGGATGAGGGGGGCCTCAATAGGGCTGTGGGGGGCTGAGGCACGAGATCCCATTTGGCGGGCGGTATGAGGCTAATGGTATGTGCGGGGCTGAGGGGCCAAGGGCTTCGGGTGATGTGGATTCGAGGTTTTGTACGGGAAGTGAGGTATTATGGTACAGATGAAATGGTGAGTAATTGTATATATATATATATTTCATTAATTTTCTAAAATGAAAAATGTCATGCTAAAAGTTTCATATTACACAATAACATTCCAAACTAAAATTCCAATAGTATAAGTTATTTTTAGATTATAACTCACAGCACAAAAAGTTGCATTCCGAGCGGGAGCCAGCCATGGCAGAGGCCTGGAGGGTCATGCAGTGCCTTCAGGTGAGCGACCTCTGATCCCTCGGGCATGTACAACCATCTCCCTGCTTCTGCTTTTGCTCCCTCGCCTCACCCATCATCACCCATCCCTTTTATCTTGCTCCATCTCCTCCTCAGCATGAATGTCTTCATCATCCCACCACTCGCACAACCTCGTTCACAGAGCCCATGTACTGTCTCTTGCTGTGTGCTGCTGTTGCCCTCTTCGTCATAGATTTCATCTTCTCGTATTGCTCGTGATGTTCCTCGTCCTGTTGCCATCGAGCTGATAAGGAATGGGTTTCTCATCATACGCTCGCGGATTGGTGGGTGGTATGAGGGCACGGATTCTTGAATACATGCATCTTCATAGTCTTTGCGCGATTACCACTTTGGTTCCCATTGACGTATTCATGAGATGATGGAAGATTGTTGTGGACTTGCTCTCAGTTGCTTTTTGCATCTTTGACTGTGATGTTGTGCCGAGAAAGCATGCAATGCTGTTCAAGTTGAGGTGGACCGCCTGGATATGGCTAGGACGATGCATCCTCACACGACGCCCTGCTGACACATGCTGTGTAGGAGGAGTCATGGGAAGCCATCTCGTCCTACTTCAACTTCGAATCTCTCATGCTGCTCGAGATGACATGTCGGCACTTCCGCCAGATGCTGCGATCCGAATCTATCTGGCAATCAAACCTGCATGTAAGCCTTCATCCAGCTCGCCGTCATTGTTCGGAGGACTTTTCCTCTTCTTTGTGTCTGATGGGGTGATGTGTACGTTCTGACTGAGAGGATTCAGGGATTGGTAGACATCCGGGGAGATATCCATTTTCGTTCCAGGGAGGGGCAGGTGCGTCCTTCTCAATCTACTAGCATGGGAGTGAAGGGTTTGAAAGGACGGCATGACATACAAGGCTTTCTTCCGTCTCATCAGAGATGTCATGCTGCTGAGATGGCAAGGGAGCGATCCGACGAGATCCAGCGAGATCCAACTGCTGTCAAAAGTGATAGCTGCCTCGAGCATAGACCGGTGGGCCCGAGTGCACTTGTGTGGGGGTGTTTGAGACTGCGATGCAATAGGGATGAAGAGGCGGCAAAGAATGTGCTGACTCCGTCTACCTGCTCCACGGGGGTCAGAGGGGATCAACAGGTTCTTTTACGCGGTGGAGTTGAACCTGTCCGTAACTGTCCATTTCAAGAAATGCCAATGTTCGGGCGGGACGGGGGCGTGCTACTGGAGCTCGGAAGCTTCAATGGAACCCTCAAGTCAGTTACACGATTTTTGACTTTTTTGTTTTCTGTTATGTCTTTTGTTCTCATTCGTCTTCCTGTCAGGCCTAGATTGGATCAGCTTTAAGATGAAATCCACCGCGTGTTTGGTCACAGCCCTGAAAGTACAGGTGTTTATTTGAAATCCTCCCGCTCGTGCCCTGACGTTTTCGTGCAGCCCTACGAAGCCTGGTGGCAGGTGGCCGATTGAATGATCCTCTTGTGTGAGAATGCATATCGATGACATGACTTGCTGTCTCGCAGCCCGAGGACACTACTGTCTGCCCGTCGCGCAAGCCTGTCTACAGGTTGAGCCAAAATCACCACTATGCTGCTCTGTTGACGTTGCTGCATCTAGCCCCGACCATATAAGATTTCGATTCGGATATTTCCCGGGGGACTCACACCAAGGCCCGAGGCCCGAGTCGCCGGCTGCGAAATCCACTTCCATGGACCTTGAGCCGGGGGAATCGGGGGAAAGCGGCTTGACGCACTCCTGTACAGAGACGATGAGTGTTCCGCAGACTCGGAAGGTGCGGTCTAGATGCGAGAGTGAGCGGGGAGTATGCCCCGATCGTAGTGCTTCCTTCTCCCTTGCTTTGACGATGCTGTACTGCACCTTGTTCTGCCCTTTGGGTTGGACAGTCTCTTATCCTCTTGCCAGGGTCTTGAAATTTGTCTAGATCGGCCGATGCTGGTGAGCAGGTGCAGGCGTCTTTGTTTTTGCCTCTGATGCGGTTCCCGTCAGGTGCTGGGAGGGTTTGTTTCGTTACAAATGTTCGATCGCGTGCAGGTGAGAAGAGAGTTGCTCCTCTGCTGGAGATTCCCTCACCAGTTTGCAACAGCGCCAGACGATGTCTCCTCGAGACTACTACACATGCATCCAGGTGATGGGAGGTAGTAGCAAGGATGGTTGAGGTAGAGATAGTGGTGGTTGAGGTACAGAGAGTGGTGGTGAAGGTGAGGGATGATGATGATGATGATGATTGAGAGGAGGTGGAGAGATTTTGTGCTGGTTGATGACGATGATGCCGTTCCTGGTGGTGATGGTGGTGGTTTCCGTGGAGCTGCTGCTGCTACTGCCGCCGCTGCCCATGATGATTGCGAGGGTTGATGATGACGATGATGAGGAGGAGCAAGACAGTGTGTAGGAGTTGTCCTAGCGTGTAGTGAGGATGGTATCAAGGCGTTTCTTGACGGCGCTCTCTCTCTACAATGCTCACACCTTTGCTCAGCATGCTGCTGTGATCGGACATCCGTTGAACGGAGTGGCGTGCGACCCCAAAGCTACCAGGCAGAGGGGGAGGGGGAACGAGGAAGAATGGAGCTGGGAACTTGTTGCCACAAAGACTTGCGCGTACTGTGGCTCTCTCGTTGATGTGCGTGTCGTGTAAGCCGCTGCTCTCTGGCATGACGTAGACTGCAGGGCCCTGCTTCCTTTTCATGCGCTCAATTGCTACGTTGCTCTCAGTGCAGGTAAGGAGTTGTTCTCGTCGAGGTTGTTGTTGTGATCTCTCGCTTTTTTGTTTGGAGCAGGCGGGTGTGGTATTGTGATGTGCAGCATCAAAAGGTAGCTGGTGCTTTCTTGACCTCCTTGGGTTTACTTTCTTGTCAGAGTCACTACAAGTACCACAAGGCGTATTGCTCGAAGTAAACATCAAAATGCCTGATCCTCTTGTCTCTTCTTTTCTTCCTTCCCTCACCACCATCAGTTCCTCCCTCCTCCCTCCTCCCTCCTCCCTCCTCCCTCCTCCCTCCGCATCTTCATGCTCCTGCTCCTGCTCCTGCCATGCTCCGATTCTGCATCGCCACATTTTTGATGGATTGAAGAGCATGGGTAGGTCCAGAAAGTAGGGGTACTATCAATTATGTACCCCTACATAAACAACGTTCAAACAGAGAAATGCAGGGGTTATCAATCACTTAGATTATTTCTCAAAAGGGTAGGTAGAACAATGTGAAGGGTGGGGTCAATGGAGGGGGTAGGGGATTTTGGTGAGTCATGCCGCGTTTTTGGGGAGGGCGAGCCAAGAGCAGAGGAGGAGGGAGGAGGAGGAGGAGGAGGAAGGAGGAGGAGGACGAGGACGAGGACGAGGACGAGGACGAGGACGAGGACGAGGACGAGGACGAGGACGAGGAGGAGGCAACGTTGGTGATGTGAGCACAGATGCGTGAATAGCATTGGTACGTGGGGGAATAGAGCTTGATGAAAGAGAAGAGAGGTACAGGTGTGTGAATGGATGGGAAAAGGATCAGAGTAGCGAAGACATGGGAACCAGTAGCTGAGGGGAGGCGCTTGAGAACATGCCTGAGGTGGTCAGCCGTGCGCGGCATGCCAGATTGTCAAGATATCCAGCATGAGCAGAGTGGGATCGAGCCCCTGGAGGGAGCATGCTAGGATGTTGCTGTGGGCATTGCGATACTAAAACTGAGAGGCACGTCCATTTCGCTGATCTCCTCCTCCAGGCTCGTGGTACGTGAGCTGGTGACCGGTGGCCATGTCGTCGAAGCAGGGCAGCCGTTCCCTGCTCGGGCTGCCGCCGGATCAGGACATTCCAACCTCGCACTCGATCTTCAGTGACGATGACCCGCTCGACATTCCCTCGAGAGCTGCGCAGGTAAGAGAAATCCATGGCGATGGAACAAGATAGCCTTCTTTCCTCCCTCTGCTCCCTCCGCTGCCTCCTCCCTCCCCTCTTGCTCCCCTCTATCTCATTGTCTGCTCTCTGGCTGCCGAATGATCTGTCTCTCTCTCCCTTGGCCCCTTGTGTTTCTCCTCCTTGCTTCAGTCTTCTGACTGCCTTCTGCTTCTTGATGACCTCTGATCCTTCTCCTCCTCAGAGCCCGGAAGGCGAGGAGGCGAGTCAGCCTTCGAGGAAGGGGCTGGGCCGAGGGATCGCGTCGGAGAGCTTCGACATTGCCAGCGGGCTGCATGTAGAGGACGCAAAGCTTGACTCCATGCCCGAGGTCAAGGACTTTATGACCATTGACTGGACTTACTACGCGGAGAAGGATAGGGAGAGGAGGATTCAGGGGCTGAGAGGAGGCAGGAGGAGCGCGATCTTCCGCGTCCTTCTCAACATCTACGATGCCATGCAGAGCTGGTTGGCGCTCACGGCTGTCGGGTTCACGTGCGGCGCTCTGGCCGCCATGGTCGGGACCGGGTCGGACTGGGCCAACGACATCAAGTTTGGGATGTGCTACGGGCGAGGGTTCTGGATAACGCGTCAGATGTGCTGCAAGGACAGCGCCGATATGTTATCCTGCTCCAACTGGAAGTCCTGGGCTCAGCTACTGGGGGCGTCGCACGCGAGCTCGGAGCAGGTCGTCTCCTACGTGATCTACATCTCCATCGCCGTGCTGCAGGCAGGATATGCGGCATGGTTGTGTAAGGTGAGGAGAAGATGCGGAGAGGGGAGAGTGAGGAGAGGAGGAGTTGGAAAGAGAAGGGAAAGAGGAGGGGATGGGGATGCGACAGCGGGGAAGTAGAGAGGGAGAAGAGGGTGGAGGAAAAGAGGGATGGAGTATGTGCGAAGAAGTAGGAGCAGGAGAAGGAAGGGGAGGAGGAAGGGGAGGAAAGTGAATGCAGAGAAAGGGGGCGAGTAAGCAGCAGTGATCGCTGTTCAGGTGTTCGCACCTTATGCGGTCGCCTCCGGCATCGGAGAGATCAAAGTTATCTTATCCGGTTTCGTGATCAAGAAGTTCCTGGGAGGTCTGCAAACCCTTCTTCTCTCCTGCTCCTCTCCTCCTTCTCTCCTCTTCCTCTCCTCCTCCTCTCCTCCTTTCCTCCTCTCTTCCTCTCCTCCTCCCCCCCTCTCCTCTTCCCCCTCCTCTCCTCCTCCCCCGTTCTCCTTCTCTCCATCATCGCTTCCTCCTCCTCTCCTACTCCCCTTCCCCTGGCTGTCTCACTCTTTTCCTCATCTGCTCTCTTCCCCTCCCCTCCTTCCCTGAATCTGCCCTCCCCTCTTCGACTTGCTCTCTCGCTCTCTCCTTCCCTTCCTTCCTCCTCTCTCTTTCTCACCATCCTCGCAGGCTGGACTCTCCTCATCAAGTGTGTGGGGCTTGTGCTGGCTGTGGGGTCAGGGCTGAGCATCGGCAAGGAAGGACCTTTCATTCATGTCTCCTGCTGTGTTGCCAATGTCATGTCTCGTTTCTTTTCAAAGTTTGCGACCAACGAAGTCAGGTTTGTTTGTTTGTTTGATTGTTTGTTTGTTTGTTTGTTTGTTTGTTTGTTTGTTTCTATCTTTCTTTCTTTAGTGCTTGCTTTCTGCTTGTTTGCTGTTCTTGTCACTTGTGATGATGTTCTGTGAACTTCACAAATTCCCTGTCTCTTCAATTTTCCCTGAAACGGCTCGACAATGGAAAGAGCACGGAGAAATGATTCCCATATCTTCCTCCCTCTCTTGCTGCTGTCCTGTTCCCCCTCACTCCTCAAGAATTTTCCTCCTTCACCATCCTTCTTCCTCATTGTCTTCTCATGAATTTTCTCCTTCAACTTCTGCTCTTCTCCTGTCATGTCTTCTCCTCAACCCCCCTGACTTCCGTCTTGCCAGGAAGAGAGAGCTGCTGTCTGCCTCTGCTGCTGCCGGCATCGCCGTCGCCTTTGGTGCTCCTGTTGGAGGAGTCCTCTTCTCCTTTGAGGAGGTGACATTTGTTTTTCCTGCCCTCCCTTCCCCCTCTCTCCTCCTCTTCCTCCTTCCTCCTTCTCGTCTCATCACATCTGCTCTGCTCTCCTCCCTACCCCTCCTCCTTCCTTCCCCTCTTTCCCTCCCTCCCTTCCTCCCTCCTCCCTCCTCCCTCCTCTCTCCCTCCTCCCTCCCTTCCTCCTCCCTCCCTCCCTATTTCCTCTCTTCCTCCCTTGTATCCCTTCTCCCTCCTCCCTTATATCCCTCCTCCTTTCACTCCCTGCTCTCCTCCCTGATCTTCTACAGGTATCTCTCTACTTTCCCCCAAAACCATGTGGCGCGCCCTCTTCTGCGCCACCGTCGCCGCCATGTCCCTCCAGCGCCTCAACCCTCAGCCGTCAGGAAAGATGGTGAGGGAGGAGAGTGCATGGGACCTCGGCTCCTTCTCCGCTCCTTCTCAGCTCCTCCTCAGCTCCTCCTCAGCTCCTCCTCAGCCTCTGCTGAGCTCCTCACAGGTTCTCTTCGAGATCACCTACCATCACAAGTGGAGGCTCTTCGAGCTCATCCCCTTCGCCTTCATCGGCGTCATCGGAGGTCTGGTAAGTCGTGCTGGAGCATGCGAGGCAGGAGGGAACCTGCTCCTGCTCCTGCTCCTGCTCCTGCTCCTGCTCCTGCTCCTGCTCCTGCTCCTGCTCCTGCTCCTGCTCCTGCCCCTGCCCCTGCTCCTGCCCCTGCCCCTGCCCCTGCCCCTGCCCCTGCT